TGGTCCCAGGCCGGGAGCGGATGGGGGTGGGATGAGAGGGAATGGTCAAAACCCAGTAGTTTGCTGGACCTGAGCCCACGGGTCCAGAGTTTATCATTATGCTGCTGCCAGCACCTCGCCGAAAACTGCTGGCAAATGTCACCGTGTGTCCCTCTTTGTGAGTCTGTCCTTGTGGGCAGAAGCTGCCCTGCCTGCCCTCTCCTGCCTGCCCTGCCTGCTCCTGCCTGCTGGCGTGGCTGGGGTTAGAGGCTGAGCCATGCAGCGCCTACGAGGGGTTTTGGCAGATGCTTTGTAGAGCTGTGGTCCCATCGCTGGGGCGCGCGGGGGGTGGGTTTCTGCAAGGTTTCAGCCACGCAGAGGCAATTTCACCCCCTGACCCTCCTGTCTCGGCAGACGTGGAGGAGCTCTGGATTGGCCTAAATGACCTCAAGCTGCAGATGAACTTCGAGTGGTCGGATGGGACGCCCGTGAGGTTCACCTACTGGCACCCCTTCGAGCCCAACAACTTCCGCGACAGCCTGGAAGACTGCGTGACCATCTGGGGGCCGGTGAGAGCCTGGGCGGGGGGGGGTTCATCCTGCACCTCCGCAGAGAACGCTGCGGCATCCTCATGGCTGGGGAAGGGATACCTCAGGGAGCACCTCCGGCTGGGGGTGGATACATCTCATCCCAGCCGTTGGGGTGGGTTGGGATGGGAGCGATCCAGCACGGCACCCTCGGGGATTTGATGTAGGTCAGGACAGTCCATCAGCCCAGCGTGGGGGTGGACGGGCTGGGGAGTTCCCCGGGCTGGCGGCTGGGCTCAGTCCTGCTCTTCTCCCCGCTGTGCAGGAAGGGAGGTGGAACGACAGCCCGTGCAACCAGACCCTGCCCTCCATCTGCAAAAAGCCCGGCCGGGTGAGCCAGGAGAAGGAGGAGGATGACCACGGGTGCCGAAAGGTGAGGGGCACCTGGGGCGGGAGGTGGCTCTGGCTGCTCCGCAGCTCTGCCTCATGCTCAGGGCTTTGGGGTCACGGTGGACCTCTCCCCAAAACCATTTTGGGGAGCGCTGCGGAGCGGCACCCGGCGCTGCGGGTCTGCGCCTGGGGCTGCTGAGCCCCTCGCTCCTGTGGTTGCATGAGGCCGCGGGAAGAAATTGGGACAAAAAATGTGTCTCCATCGTCCAAGATCCTCCCCCTTGGGCTGCCTTGGTTGCCAGCAGGGATGTTTTTTTTTTTTTTTTTTCTTTCCCCCTGCTTGCCTCTCACTGTGCCAAAACCCGACAGCAAAGCTGCTGCGTGTGGGAACCCGGCAGGACGGAGGCAGCTGCTGGCCCCACCGTGGCAAGGCGCGGGGCGTCGGGGCC